GCCGCGGCGCAGCCCCGGCGGCAGCCAGAGAAGGGCATGTGCTTTGCTTTGTAGTGTGGCGGAGCCACCTGCATCTGGAAAAAAAGGAGGAAATTTCGGGGCCTCACACCTACCCACCGCCCGAGGGCAGTAGGCCTCAAGGGCTGTACAAGCACTTCTGCGCTGTGCGAGTTACAAAAAGCCATCCAAAACAGACCGCTAAGAACACCCGTTCGGTTTCAGACACATACTTCACAAGACTTTCTGCCTCTTGCTGCTGTTTTTTGGGAAGGTTACGAAGCTGTTTCAGTTTTAATACACACCTTTGAGCCATTGTGGATAGCAGGCATGAAATTAATACAAAGCTGACACACTCAGGTGTCTCTGTGGGTCAAGATTTTTGTACCAGTTGGTTGCGCTTGCTCTCCAGCATGAGTTGCTACTTCCCAGGAAAAAAAGGACGTTAGGGTTATACCTCACTGCAAAGGGTAAATGGCATACTGGGAGAGGGAAACGCTGCAAACACTGGGGCCTTTCTTCTGAACACCAACAGGATTATCAGTTTATGACTGGAAGAATACATCTGCATGACGCAGACACAAAGGAGATTCTTTTCAAGGTAGGTACCCGGGAACCAAGAGGAAACAACTACCAGCTTGGATCAAGACTGTAACACATCTAAAATCCGGTATCCTCTCTCAGACAGAACCATCAAAACAGTGGAAACAATTAAGAAACTATACGGGAGGATATACAATTTGTCCCTTAGGAAGGCAGAGCCCCCTGCTCACCAAGAGCTAGGTAGTTTAGTCCACAGCCTGTCCAAAAACGGTGCTAGCACTGCCTGCTAGAGCTCCAGCGCTGACACTCGTCCCCAGAAGGTGATTCCTCCACCGACTGCTCCACTCCCACCCCACGCACATCAGCTTAGGTAGCAAGAATTTAATTCACTTATTTTGGGTAAAATAAAGTTTCGCTCTTTCCTCCTTATGTCAGCCAGGGCTAACCAGTTCCCTAGTCAGGTTACTGGACTACATTATGTTTATAGCAGGTGTTTCCCACCATTCTGATTTATTTCCAGAGACAACTCAATGACACAACAAGCTAGTCACTAGGCCGTTTCTTTCAAGGCTGCAGAAAGAAAGAAATCGGAAGATTGCTTGTAATAATTTGAGAATAATTTCAGTGCTATTAAGATGCCTGTTCTATAATAGGCTCTCCAGCGTTCCTCAGAGTCTTGCTGGGAAGACATTTAACAACATTGCAGCATCCAGAATTTTTATGAGGTCCCTGCTCAGCGCACTTTCCCCCACAGTTTACACATTAACCCCCGAATGTCCTGTACAGAGCTTTGAGACAGCCTGTTGCTTAAACTTCTGCCACGGTGAAGATACTGAACTTTGTTTCTTGTCAGACAGTTTCTGACACACAGTTTCTGACACAACTAAGCAGATCTATTCTCTTTCCAAAACAAAATACTCCATCTTTTGAGCAGTCTCCAAACATGTCTGAGGGACCTTGTCCAAAACCTGTAAAAAGTCTAGACGCAGGTCAATCTCTCCTCACTTGCCTCTGTTGACATTCAAAGATTTAGAAGAACAACGACATGTAATTTTCTCCCCCCCACTACTCTTTATTTTATTAGTCCCTTTTCAATTGTTTTAGTCGTGCTTCTAGATGTAAGGTTCCGTGATGTGCAAATACAAAAAATCATAAAATTGTTTTAAGATATGCTGTTAGGTCTATATCTAACCCGAAGCATAATGAAACACGTATAATACAATCAGGTATTTCTTAAGCATAGAAGGATTCAGTTACCAAGCAGATACAATTACTTTATTCTTTGTTGTTAGCCAGATAAGCAGAGGGTCAACAGAGGAGTATCAGCACACTGAGGTGCACACAAAATAAATTATCCCACATGAAACAAATATTACACTTGCTTGAAGAGTCCCAGTGATCTCTATAGACACACAATTTTTTAGTATATAAAAATATGCACACATTTTATTTTTCCTTTTTCTTATCCTTTTCTTCTTCCTTCTTTTTCTCCAAATAACACTTAAGAATGTTGTTTAGCTGCTGCTCACACTGGCTTACATGTTGTAATCCATTTTCCCATCCTAAAAGCAGTAATAAACAGGATAATTACATCTCATTTTACAGTATTCATCATGTACTTAGTCTGTGGTGATGAGAGCATCTATTTCGCAAAACCCAACAAACGGTTATAATATTTCTACTCTGAAAATTGCTCTTTTTCACAGAGTTCAACCATTAATGAGATGCTTGCTCAACTAACGTCAACTAACTAGATAAGTAAAATGATTACTATTTCAGGACCTATCTCTTGTCGAGATTCACTGTCTCTTGTCTCAAAGGCCAGGAATTCCCTTTGCAGCAGCCACTAATGGAAGGAAAGCCCTACTCTTCCGAAACGGGATGGGCCCCCTCCGCAAGGGTGCCTCAGTGGGCACTGCGGAGTGAGATTCAGTCAGATTTTATTACATTTATTTAGGTGATCTGGACACTATTCTACCTCTTGCTTTGCCCATTCAAAGAAAACTTTCAAGGAAAACATCTATAATGAGCGGTAAACAATGCTTTGAAATCTGAATTGTCTCATTTCGAGGGGGATAAGTCAAGCATCAATGAAGGGAGAAAATACAACCTGTTTTTCCAAGGTGTGCATGCTGTGGGAAGTAAAGATATATAGGACAAAGGGGCTGTTTAGGCATTGTAAACACCTAGCAGAGTTGCAAGGGGTAACCATAAGGCTTTTTGCTTTGTTTCTAAACAGGATTAGCTTTCAAGTTTATGAAATACAGAATTACAGTAAACTTCTGGAAATATGTGGAAACCATGAAAGAAAATGATTTTCAGAAACCTGTTTTTCCTTCTGTGGTCTGATAAAACAAATATGTTCACAAGACAGTCACTTGCAAACAATGCAATCAGGAATTACCTGATAGAGCTTACTGATCTTCAACAGCTTTTTTTTTTAAGCAGATCAAAATTCATCTTCCAAAGACAATATGAGCCCTTATTCACAGAAAGACCTCATGACTTTTTTTTTTCTTTTATTTAAATATGATCTATTCAGAAATTCTGCTATATGGAAGAATTTGTTTATAACTCGTTTCTGCTTGACTCTACCTGGTAAAAGCAAACTGGGAAAGGGCTAGAAAGGTAGTGATAATATGGGTTTCAAATCTCCTTCCCATAGCGCTTTTTGCATGCTTGCAATGTACCATATGGCAAGAAAAAAAAAAAAGATTAAGCTATGTGATTTTGAAAATAAAGACGACGACTATATTACCTTTGCAGTGATGAATTACTCTTCCCCATAGTTTGTTCTTACTTAAACAGGCCAGATTTCCAACAATCAACAAATGTCTCTTTGCTCTCGTCAGCGCAACGTTCATTCTCTTCTCTGAATCTATGAACCCAACTTGTCGTGTTCTTACACACGACAAAACAATGACCTCTTTCTCAGCTCCTTGGAACGCATCTACAGTAGACACCTGGACAGCTTTAATTTCAAGAGCCTCAGAACGTACACCACTAAGCAAATTCTGAATCTACAGACAAATAAATAAGGATATTGATGAGTTACGTATTCACAGAGCCAAACGTTTGCCTTGAGCAAAAGCAAATAACAGGTCTGAGTTTATATGAGATGCAGATTAAGAAACTACGGAATGTAACGACAGGAAAACCTTAGCTAACGACTCTAAAATATTCTGCAGTGAACCCATATTTGATAAAACCCTGGTGGCGTTCATTTTGGCAACTAGTGCTTTTGCTTAGTAATCACAGCAGCCCACATCAGCCTTGGATGATCAGGTTAGGTAACCTGCAACCCTGCTAAATAGCGAAAGGCAGTGTGATTGAATATGACGATTCTGTTCTTGTCATAGATACCAATTTGCAACAGCTTCCAATTAATTTGTGAATATTATGTACTAGTTAACTTGCCAGTTTTCTGAGTGTGTGTTGCGAGGGGGGGAACAAAAATTCTGAAGCAAATTTGAATTAAAACATTTTCTCTAATTTTTTAGAGAAATAACTATACAGATTTTTTTTAAATGAGACAATAAATGCAAGTTTTGCTTTACCTATTCAGCGCTTATTTTTTCACTTCTAGTTCAAAAGGAGCCTATGTTTATTCTAAAAGAATAAATAAAAAAAAGTTTTACTGATAATGTATTATACAAACCTTACACATCTGTGATTTATAAAGAGTAATCACACCAATTGCAAATCCTTCTATTCCACTTGCAATCAGAGACTGGATAAGCTTGACTGCAAAGTGAGCTTCCGCCATATTATAAAAGCTGTTGTCTCTTTCAATCTGGAAATGGGGAAGAAGACATCTAATTTAGCTCTGCAGTTAAAATGCATTTCACTGCACAGTCACAATGCAAATGGAAATAGAACGGCAAAAAACAACAGTATTTTGACTTTTTACATAAGAAATGTGTAAAAGCTTACTTGCTCTATCCCATTAACACTATAAAAACACAGTGTTGGAAGCCAATCCAGTAAAGGACTTCTATCTTCCTCTGAAACACCATTTATCAGACTTCCTTCATAAAATAGCTCATTGGCTATGGCACTAATAGCAGGGTGACATCGGTACTGTGTCCGAAGCAGTATTGCTTTATGTCCCTAAAGAATTATGATGCAGAAAGTGTGAAAGGGGAAGAGAATTATTAAGTTTTTCGCAATGCAAATTAGATTAAACAAGTAATAAGTGGAAATAATTCCTGCAGTGATTCCTGCAGCTGACTTTACCTTCATACATCCACCTCAACAAAAGTTAAAACAAATATTTCAGTCCCTGATTCTTCTACCTGTATTGGAAACTGCACATAAACATCAGAAGGTGGAAATTGTAATTGTACTTCATTCTTATTCTACGTTTGTTACTTTTTCAAGTCTCTGTCCGCTGTTAAAATAACACTTACACAGAAATGCACCAAAATGGAATTTGCTTCATTAAAAAAATAAAAAAACCCACACAATAACAACAAAAAACAGGCCGCAACACTGACCCTTCTGACTTCTAAACTGGGACTCTTACTGACTTCAGTGGGCCTGGAATGTCACTCTCCACCCTTTTGAAGTTGTGGTTAGTAGTACATACCATTAAGGAAAGCCGATCAAACAGAGTCTGCTCCAAACCCTTTTCATGAACGCTATCAGACCCTTGAATAGTTGGCGGTAATTGCTTAGGGTCTCCAACAAGGACCAGCTTCTCACACTGAAACCTAAACAAGAACATTAAAAATAAAAATCCAAAAAGGATGATACACTCATTGTAACAATTACAAAAATGTGTGCTTTCCTTATATATGTATGTGTGTGTGTGTGTGTGTATGTATCATACATCACTTTATGGATCAGGCTCCATTGGTATCCCTTCTTTCCATAGTTAAGATAATACAGTTACGCAAGGATGGCATCTAAGAGCAGGCTTCAATTTGTAATTATTCTCCTTGCTTTTTAAGATGAGAGCTTGGAGTGCACGTTCTTAACAAGATGTCCAAGTTTGGCAATTTTTTAAAGTTGTGTCACCGATAGCTAGAAGTTACTTCCCTGCCGAAACACAACAAAAGGATGGTCGTACCTTGCAATAGGAAGGAGAGAAGCAGGTTCAGTCATCTGACTGCACTCATCCAGCACCACCACAGGAAATTTAAGGGTATTCATACAAGGGAATGGGCAGGCAGCACAGGTCACTCCAACCACTTTTACCTTTGTTATCAGTGAAGAGGAAAAGGGCAGAGAAAATGTTAAAATTAGGCAATATTTATCTGTGTGCAGTACAAAACTATAGCTTCTGCAGTAGAATAAGCCTACTTTTTTTTCTTTTAAAGCAGTTCTATTGCATGCTCACTGGGCCTCAAAAATTAAATTCTAACTTTCTCAGTAAGAAGTACTGTGTATGCCCAGAGATGGAACGAAGGCTAATATTTGCTATGCTTGGTGTGCTTCTGTGTTAGAAGAATTCACAGATCCATGGATTTAAGACCAGGGCAGGTCTGACACAGCAAGAGTCCAGACTACACAACCCTGCAAAACCTTCTGAGCCCCAGCGGCAACGGTGGCAGCAATGACTGCTAGGAATAAGCACAAAGAAGAAGAAAAGTCACACACACACGGGACACCAAGCTATACTCGTGGAATCAAATCTGCCCCAGTCCTAGCATTCATGTTATTTTTCAAAACTGTAGGAGTTTGGCAGCCTCAGATGCGAGAAGGGATTCCCAGTTTCCTTTTGCCAAGCCTTGTGGATGTGGCATACTAAATACTCACTTTCCCATCCAATCATTTTGACAGTACCTGTTGCAATATAGCTTTGTTGGTCCCTAGTTTATGTTGCTCAATACTCTTCTTCACATAGATTCTTTCAGCTGGAGTTAAATCTTCTTTCATGAGAGCAAGTAGTTCTTTTAATTGTTCATTTTCATTTCCTGAGCCAGCATGTAAACTTCAAAAACAATTTTACAACACGCATTACAACTACAGAAAATTACGGTGCTTTCAGAGTTCAATGAACACCCAATATAGAAAAATAATCATATATAGCACATAGTAGTACTTCACAACAATGTACTAACCCATATCAAATCCAGCTGAGATAGACTAGTATAATACCTGTTTTAAAATAACAGACCTTTATCACACCAGCTCAGACTTACCACCTTAACCAAACACACAAGCATGGCAAATGCTTCTCCAAGCTATACAGTTGATTTCAGAGCTGGAACTGACAGGGAAGTTTTTCATTCACTATTTCATATGCCATTATCACCAAATAATGGAAATTTAATCTTTATGGAGCTTGACCTATACCTCTTTCTCTTAAATTGTGCAGAAAGTACAATCTAGATTACTTAGTTTTAAATAGTTAAAGGACAAACCCCAGAACGCTTTAGATTTGTATAGCAAAGTTAACCTGGGTAAGAAGAATAGTGTTCATGACTTGCTACCATTAAGTCACTGAACATTACATTTATGATTACTTCCTCCTAGTTCTCATCACTACAAATGCTATATATCTATTTTAAGTCTGTCTTTTTTGCTTTTCCTCCTTGTATACATTCCCAAATCTCTAACTGCTATTATTTTGTTCTCTTCTACTGCTTTCCTTTTAAAAGCATTAGCATTAGCTCCATTCAGCAACAAACTGAATTCCCAAAACAAGGTAAAAACTCTCCACTGTTCAAAAAAATACTGTGATAGGTTTATCACTATCACATTTTGAATGGTTTCGGAATAGTCGTTTTACAGCACTTCATAATTACGATCTATCTTACAATCTCTTCAGATCCCTCAAAGATTAAGATTCTTACCTATAGGGAAGAATTGGTTTGGCGATTTTCCTAACACTTCCCACTCTGATAAAATCCTCAAATCCAAGATCAAGTAGACTTCAAAGAAAGAGAGATGATACATATCACAAAAGTATAAAAAGCAATTTTGAAAAATGAAAAAATGGTTCTAAAGGCACTAACAAACACATTAAAACACTGACGAAAACAAAATTCTACAAGTCATAACATGAAGTAACGTAGAACGCAAGTCAAGTAAATCAAAGTCAAAGCAAATTATCTCATCACGGTTTGTCTCAAAAGTGTTTTATATGTCTTAGTAATTCTCTTCTCATAAATGATCTTCTATTTGTACTTTCCTCTCCCTTTACCCTTTCAAATCATGAGCTTTATTTGACATTAACCTCTAACGATTTCTTTTTCTTCTCCTGTATTTGCTGAAGCTCCCCAAACCTCTTCCTCCTACTGCTGCTTCCCAAAGCTTCTTGAGCAACCCCACTTTTGTGACTGGTGACTTCTAACGGTAAATTTGATGAAAGCTGCATTCAGTATTAGCCTTGTATAAATTAGGGCAGCTAGCCTTGCACAGTGTGCTGTGCAAAGGAACAGGGTAAGATTAAAGTGCCTACGTTATACTTTATAGGGGAAGAATGCCATCTTTCTAAAGCTTTATGCTGGAAATACTAACACAATTGTCCTTACCATAAAAGTGCATTCTTGTTATTGGAACAAGAGCCTGTAAAATTTTAGCTTGCTGTAACCTACCCAAGCAGTATCCTGTCAACGGCAACATTAGTGGAGGAAGCGATCAGAAGTTTCCATGGAATTGGCCTTGGGCCGTCCTTAGCTTCACTGCTTTCAAAGAGCTGGACTAGGAACAAGATCACAACGGACAGCAAATAGCTCTTTCCAGCTCCAAAAACACCTGGTATTTTAGAAGAAAGCCAAAGTTAGGAATGAAAAATATCTACGAGGAACAGTTCTGATTAACTGTTATAACACCAATTTATCTTCCGAAATATTATGCTGTGATTCCTTGCATATTGTATATTTGAAACAGGTGCTTGTTGCAGCAGCTGTAAGTTTCGAGGGGCAACCTGTTGGCTTACGTTTTGTATTTGTTTACTGCCTGCAATGTCTAAAAAACCAGAGGACAGGGTAAGTTAAGACATTTTTCCTAAATTTTCTGGTGGAATACATGTAGTATTTGTTAAGGAGTCTCATCCAGACATTAACATAACACAGACACAAACATCTGCATGCGCGTCGTCATACTACGTCCTCAGGAACAGAATAAGGCATTTTAGAGATGATGATCATTTTGGAACGTCTAATAGTTATAAATAGATTAATATGCCTGACAGACTAACAGAAGCTGAGGCAATTCAAATCTAGTACTATTTGTACAAAGAGCATCATTATTGCCAATGTATTTATTTTGACAGGATCTAGAATTCATGTTTATGGTAACTGCTTCTCAATATAGATTTAATAACCTCTTTGAACTAAGAAGTCCTTTTTGAATACATTAAAGAGTCTGTTAAAACTGAGATAGAAGGAAGGAAATATAAAACAAGGACAAATGCATAATAAGAAAGATATGCTAATTTAGCAAAACTAGTACATCACAAAGAAAATTAATACGAAAAAATAAACAGAAGACACTGAATAACTCTGTTCTGTGTACAAGTCTGCTAGGAAAGAATTCTGCACTCAGGTAAAATTCCTACAAAAGTTAGCATGCAATTTAAAAATCTAAAGGTCTGTGCTGACAGAATGGATGCAATGATTATAGTATCAAGGTCATTATCAGAGGGGCCTCATGCAATAAATGCAATAAATTTTCAGGAAATATGTGAACTAGGTGAGGACAGCAGTGTTACAACACAGTTGAAAAGGACTTTCCAAACATAGAGGCAATTTATTCAAGAGCATCTTTTTGGTTGATTTTAAAATAAATCAGTATTTATCTAGATGTAAGAAACTGTCTGTCTGCCTGGAATTGCAAACACACGATCAGCATAAAGGAAACAAGCCTACTGGATCATCATCATCAAAAGAATTTAAGCGTGTATCACTAACATTGGCACTACATATCAATTAGCATTTTTTTCATAGAAAAAATAGCTGTAAATCTAACGATTATTTGCCATTTACCACGTATGATTGTGATAGGGAAGATCTGCTGTTCTTCCACTGGTTTGACATTTTCAGGCGAAGTCATCATCCCAGCTATCTGAATCAGTGATGTAGCTTGATCTGGGTTCAATGAGAATGTTTGGATCATCTTTCTGGCTAATCCTATTGTTATTTCAGGGCTGACAAGTCCATACATCATTGTGCGTTTCAGGTTTGAGGCTGGGGGAGTAAATCTTCTTTTGTTGACTTTCTTAGGAGCTTTTCCAGAATCAAAATTCCTATGAAAAACACAACGGTCAAAAGAAAAACACAACAGTCAAAAGAAGAGTGAATTCAGACCATTAGGTATGAAACGTATAATGTTGCAAATGTACAACTTATATCTCATGGTTCTGACATTCATTCTCACCTGACATAGAAATGCTGAGGTTTTACAATTAAGGGTTGAAGGACATAAAAATTGCTGCCCCACTAAACCCCAAAATATACCAGAACTTTATATTCTTGCCCCCTTATTACTGCCCTGGGTGAAAGCTGGGGCATCCAAAACAGACTTCGGAATTTAACATTCTTGCTGTGAAGTGATGTTTTCAACATGACTTATTCCAAGGCTGTAAGTTTGACACAATTAAGAGCGGTAGAATCACATGGCCAGAGGTAGCAGGAGCTTATATAATTACTTGTTTTATCCAATCAAACACAAGCAGTCTTAGAAATATCCCTATATTGCTCTGACTCTCCAAGAAACAAATTCCTTTGTTTTTCTTCCCTATTTTTATTTTCTTTTCAAAAGATTCTAAAATTTGTGAAAGCTGACAGGAAAAACAGTTTCAGTGAATCCCCATGAAGTATACACATTAACTTAGTACAGTCATTGATCTGTATCAGCAATCTAATGGCCATAAAGTTGCCCATTATTAATTTACAGGTTATAAAATGTGGGCTGCAGGTTAATTTAAGGAAAGACAATCCTTTGGAGTTAGGCAACGGATATATTTTTAATTCTATGTAAGTGAAAATTGCATTGCCCCCACAGTTCACTCCTTACACTGTCTCTCTGATTTTCATTTTTCTCATCCGCTTTTGAATAAGGCAAACGTAATAGGATTTTTGTAGTTCTTTCTCTACCTATTCATATATTGCATGTTTACAGTATCACTGAGACAGTAACTTACATTTTTAGTAGATATGGTATTAGTGGTAGAGTAGATGGATTGAAGTATTCCTCCATATTTCTTAAAGACGTAAGCTCACCACTAGCATTACATACTAGTAAGGCATGAACAAGCACTGCAGAGGTCACAGAAAAATAAAATTAGGAAAATATGAAATTAGCCAACATTTTGTATCAGTTCAAGATATGAGCTACAAAATACTGAAAGAATAATTAGCCCCGCTAACAGAAACCAAATGAAACAAATTACCATGTTTGACTGATTATTATAGAGCAAAGCAATCGCTAAGCGCTTCTTTTTAAGGTGCGTTATTTTGAGGTATTTGTCATTCCAATCTCAGGATCCTTCTGGGATGCAAGTTTAGATAAAATTCTTTAATCATTTAAAAATACTTGTAGAGAAGTACTTATAAGGCTTTAGCATTTAGTAGGTGAACTTCCTAAGCAATCCACCTGTACCACAGTAGCTCAAATTGTATTGTCTATCAATATTTCCATTACAATACAGAATGATTTCTGATCTGCTAAACAGCTGTTTTCTTACAATACCCTCCCCCTACAAAACCCCAAAGCCCCCAAACGCACTACATCGGGCCAAACTAAAAGTCCATCTACCCTAGCATCCTACTTCCAAAATGTCCTAAAGTGGACGCCTATGGAAGAGTATAAGAACAAGGCAAATATTTAACTGTATTTTTCTGAATTCTCTGCCAGTATCCTAAGGTTCTGGGGCTCACGGACTTCCTAAGCAAGCAGAAAGAGGAGGAAGAAAGAGGAGGTTTCTAATGTGTTTAGAAACCTCATACCTCAACTTTAATGTTGTTTATAACTGGCAGCCGTTATATATTAAAGTTTTATTTTCATACTACTCAGTCTTTTAGTTTTGTAAAGCTCATAGAAGTATGAAATAAAATCCTGATCATAAAAATATGATCAGGAAGAAGGTTAAGACCAAAAACTTCCTAAGAAAAAATAAACTTGAAACCCTGTAATGCAGCAACACTAAGACTGAAAAGCTAAACTCTCCCAGACCCTGACTGCTCCGAGACTCCAGGCTTGCAACTTATACTCAAGGAGAAAACAAAACCAAACCTCCAATTGAATTGGAAGCCCTTAATTTTGATAGGAAGTATGACTACACAGAACTCGTTGTACCATAGTATTTTCTTCTGTATTCTTCAATCTCCTGAATGTAATTCAGGACAGGAGTTTAACGTAGGCGCTCTGATTTGTGCTTTGCAGAGATTCTCTCCCTAATGAGTACATAGAAAGCTTTAAAAGACTAATTTGTTAACTTCAAATACCCAATTTACCTCCTTAGGCTTCAGCGGTATGAATAAAGCCTCTTGTGATTAAGTACACAATTTTCACATTGCATTAAAAAAAATAAAAAAGGTTAGTAGAGGTGTATTTTTATTAGCTCCAGAAATTCTTACTTGTTACTTTATAGCTTTGGCTGCTTACGTACTGTATTTAAATTACATATTTGAACACACTTACAAGTTAAAAATACTGTGGAATAAAATGATGTGTTAGACTTTAGGAATTCCCATCTCATCCTTCATCGCTGGCCATATTTTCCTGACAACGGTGGTTTTACTTAATGCTAAATTATTTGGTGTACAACTTACTATTTGTTTGCCAGTTTGAGGGACAATAACCTTTCAGTGGTAGTAATTCTACTTCATTGTTAGATGACGGTCCAAAGAAAGCACTACTTGCAATGAAAGTATCAAGGGGAGCAAAGTTCAGAGTCTTCGAAACAACCCAAATATCGTCTGTCAAAATAATATATAATTCTCATAAGCTTCTTCTACTGCAGTCTTTTAAGGAAAAAAATCAAGCTGAACAAAATAGCCCAATATTTACTACATTGCAAATTAAATCATCACTAAAATGAAAGTATGTGGGATCAAAGTCTTAAATATGCGTTAGTTCAGTTGTCAAACAATAAACATGTAAGTTAGATCTGCTAGTACTGTCTATTAAGACTTTTCTGTAATTAATAATAACTGTAGAGTTCTCTCCCGGTGCACTTAGCATCATACAGCTTTTGGCTAATCTAAAACGTTATCAAATCAGAGATTATTTGGAACAAATCACTGAAGTATACTATAAATCTAGTTAAATATTTTCACTAAAGAATAGCAAATACTGAAAGAAAGACACATTTTCCCTTCCGTTTTGACAACACTACAGATTAGAGCCTGCAGATGTTCTATGTGGCATACCTGATGAGAGTAAAGCCCCTTACACTCTCCCTCTACCACATATTGCAGGGCACAGCAAGGGAGATTTTTAAGTTCAGAGCTACAAAAGTGCATGTATATTTGCCTGTACCCACAATGGCAAAAAATATATATCAGTACACAAGTAGAAGTTTTGCCTGTGCAGAGTTACAGAATCTAAATGTACAAAAACGTGATTTATCAGAACACTTCAGAATCTGTGCATAAAGTGAGCACAGACATGTTTGTTTCTGCCTCATCTCCTTTCACCTTTTTCTATAGCTAAGCGAACAAACTAGGATATAGGTATCAATTCATCAGTTACTGAAGCAAAGCCAACTACTGAGATAGTCTAGAGCAAATCACTCAGTGTCCTCCAACACTGCGATCTTTCACTAAGTTAGAAGAGACATGCAGCAACTATTCAAACACCAATTTTCACATGAAGTTTTCCCTATAGGTCTTCTATCTGAATCTGGCCCCCCTCCTGAAACTCCACTGTTCATACTTAATCCAGTCTGAGCCTAACAACATTCATATTTTTCTGAAGAGATATTTAAATATTTACAAGAAAAGATGGATTAATGAGTTACTTTGTTGCCCTTCTAGAATCAGCATTAAATTACCAACCTGTCAAGAGTTCAAAAAGGAGAAGGTTGAGTTTTTCTCTTTCATTACAATTTAAAACTATGAAAGGCACAACATGAATCTGGACATGCACAACCCTCGTGATACTCAGATTTGCTTACCTTTACTATAGATAGAAGAATGCTCCCTTCTGCTCAGTTTGAGGTATAATTTGCGTTTGGAATCACCATCGAATTTGGCCTGTGCATTCGTAAATTTCTTTAACTTATTTAACTGCTTTGTTTGAATTTCAAAGGCTTTCCTGTTAAATTATAATTTTAAGAAAAACTGTTCAATCAATAGTACATTTTGGAATTGTCACAAAAAATAAGAAAGCTCCAGAGACGAGACCAAATTATTCAGCACAAACTTTAGTGTTTGTGCATCCTCTTAAACCAGCAGGGTTTAAAAAAACATTTATCTCTACTAGGAAGTACTACTCTGATAGTCAGCCAAATTTAAATTGTTTCCCCTGTACTTTAGTAGTGTAGAAGGAGAGCCTTAGATACAACCTCTAATGTTAACATTAGAATATGTACATTGTATCCAGCCAGGTTTTCCTGTTCCCGTAAATATTAACGGCCAAAGATCTTTACTGCATGTCTACTTAGAGAAATATCACTACGGGAATATATCCTAAACTCTCCTACAAAAGATTAAATGAATAGTAATTCAAATAGGACAGTCCTAAGGGATTCCACTAAGCAATCGACCAAGTTGCTAGTAAGCAGTTTTGGTTCTTGATGAAAAGAACACCGACCTGATGAAATTCCACTGCTGTTCATACTTGTCCTTCAATAAGTTGGCTTTTACATTTCTACACAGAACTGTAACCCCTTTAAATACAGTTACTGAATGCGTCTGTTACAGTCTACCGAAATACGGAGTTACTGGTGTAACTCCTGCACTTCACATAGCTCTAGTGAGAGGTGTATAGCTTTCAGAATACCTCACCAAAAGCTGGCATCCCTCATAGAGGGAAATCTTTTGACTTCTGAGGTACGCCCCAACACTTTTTACATCATGAAGCACTATACTGGGTCTGGATTTTATCTGTCCTGGGTTCACCTCTTCTAGCCACTTGAAAAACGAACACTGCTCAGCTTTTGGGGCATCACAGCTATAGAACAAACGACCCTAATAGGAAAAGAAAACAGCAAAACAAGACAGACCATTAGCACTTTAAAACAAACAAAAAAAACCCATAAAGCAATTGACCAGTACTAGCTGCTATATAACATAATTAGATAAAACCCCTATGTTTTCTGCACATATAACTGGAAAACCAGGTGTGTTCCCAGAATTCTCAGATTCTGGAGCCACTCTGTGTAATCATCATTTACAGAAATCCCACATAACCTAGAAAATTATAAATTCAAGTCTTCCTCTCTACATATATAAAACTGTTTCCATACGGAGAGAACCATTACCTCATCAATTCTGGACACTAGCAGATATTAAAACTGATCTTAAAAGTGATCTCCACAACGTATCACTTTAATCTGTAATTGCAAATCATATATAGAATCCTTCTGTAATTTTTCACAGAACATAATCTATATGCCAAACAGATAAACATCCCAAACCATAAACAAACAAGGAATAAACAGCACCTTGTTTTGACCTTCTTTTTTAACCACAACAAGCTTAGCAGGATGCATGTGATCACACAGTGGAACACGGCTTTCTTTGCTCTCACTTTGCTCATCTTTCAGTGAAGTGTAAAATGATATATCCACTTTTGAAAGAGCCTTGTGTAATCTTTGTGACAGCTCAAAAAGAATTATGTTTAAATGCTCTTGACATAAAAAGAATAAAAGAGCAATTAGTACAGCCTTAAAATGGTTACAGGAGTACACAACATTAAAACAAGTACATTTTCATTTGAAACTTTCAGTCCCAAATCTAAATCAAAATATTTAATCTGCGTCCTAAAAGAGACCATTTATCTTCTGAGCCTGCAAAACTCACTTTTTGCACGTGCAATTGATTTAACTGCCTTACTTTCATACAAATCACATTTAAATATATGGCTCCAAAAGATCCAAACACTAAATAACTGCACTTGCAAAAAAGCATAGATAGGAAGGCTGGTAACGTAAAGACTGGCAAACAAGCTTGTGGTTACACAGTTGAACAGAAGTGAACCAGTCTTTTGGTTCATTTTTGCAACTTTGAGTACAGACTGAACATATTTGAGTATAGACACATCCAAAATCAAACGCAAATAGCTGTTCCAATAGATGATACTGATATTATCTCTCTCCCCAGCTGGCTGTGGGAAGCTTCAGAAATATGTTTTTTTAATTACATCCTAAAAGATAGCATTTTCCAGAGCATCACATTAGACATACCTGTTAAAGCAGCTGTAAAAATCTGTTTGTAATGAACATGAGACTGAAAAACAGTTGGTATGGCAACGTTCCTTTTAGGAAGATTAGCATATTTTACTTTATCCACATTAGGAAAGGACAACTCAGAAACTGTTAAGTCCTAAAAAGCAGAAAAATAAACCATTAAAAACTTGCAAAACCCTGACTGTACAATTCCTTAGTGAAATGACTAAACATGAATGAAATGAATTTTGATAACCGGCAACTGGACAGGTACGCCAAAACCTGTTCTCCCTCCCTCCCCCACCTCCCAACTTTGTGCTCTGATTTCTAGATACAGCTAGCAGATACAGTGTTTCTACACTTCAGGACCTCATTCTGCAACTAGAAGTTTCAAGACGAAGACTGTTAAAGATGAATCAGTTTATCTAGACTATCTCAAAAGCAAAATATAAATCCCTTTCACCACAAATATTTACAAACCTGGTTAACTGTAGGTACAGTTAGCCAACTGCCAACTGTCAGCAGGAGTATAATTAAAAACACCTGGAGCTACAGTACAGAGTGCTTGGATTACTATCTGCGACGGTGAACAAAGTTAAATTTGCCCCTGGACGTACAGCCTGCATTTTGAAAACCATAGGTAATACTTTCAAAGGCCTTAGAGTATATTACGTAACTCAGAGACATGTTCTCAGCCCTTCGCACAAGGAAGGAACACACAAATCCCATCTTTAGCACTGTTTCTGCACTGAAATACAACTCATCAGACAAAACTACAGCAAAGGAAGCATGAACTAGAGAAGGAAGAACCAGACTAGAACTCTGAGGAAAGCGAGCCCACTGCTAGCCCCCACTTCAGCTAGTCCCAAAAAGCTTCCCTCACTCTTCCACACTGCAGTTGATCATGGGCATAGTAGTGATGACTTTCTTAAAAAGCTTTTTAAGATCCAATATATATGGATACAGTATATGTGTGTATACATACATAAGCCTCTCTCCCTATATAATATACACACACACACAAAGTATATACCAGTATATATGAAATATAGTAGTTATTTCCACACCTCTAGTTCACACGTGAATATTTTACTGGACAAATATACTTTTAAAGAACTAGAAAACAGTGCACACTATGTTTGTGTCAAAAAAAGAAAAAAAGGACATATTTTCATCAACTCTCAAGCATAGCCATTTGACAACTTCTAAAATGTGGCTTTTGGTTTGTTTCCACCACACTCCATTTGTTTCAGACAGTCTACTGTTCACAAACTGTTGTGTCAATTTAAGGTCCTTATTCAATGCCATAGCCTACTTTGCCATGATCAAAAGTATTTCCATGATCAGAAATATTTAAAAATTACCTACTACGCTTTGAAGCAAGACGTGGGTGTTTGTGAAAACAACACTGATTTCACAATTAAGAAAAACACTTCTTAAAAATATGTTCTGTTCTCACCAATCATAAATGACAGATCAGCCCAACTGATTTTATTGCGTCTTTCTGCCATCAACATTCAGATTACAAATCTAAATCCATGTGCCAAGGAATTACCTTTATAAAGGATTAGTCAGAGCACATTAGCAGCTGCTGTTCTGTAGCTGAGGCTCTTTTGTGTTACTAAATATACAGCAACACTACATCCAATCATATTGATAGTATCTCACAGGCAATCAGATAAAGGCAGTTACTCTGTCCAAGAAAAAATGTGCTTTTGTCATAACTATATCTGCTTGAACAGTTACACACCTGGACTTCTCCTGTTACAGTGCGGCAGCTCAGATGACTTAACACCTTTTGTGTGGCTTCAGCTAAAGGAGCCTGACTTAAGTGCAGAGAAAGTAACTTCCTCTCTGAAATTAAATCTCTGTTCCTGCTCTTTGCACAGTGTTTACCAACCGTGCTCTTTGCTGTCTGCAGAGGCACAGAGCCGGGAGGGCTTTTAGTCATAGCACTGCTCTGGCTCTCTCCTGTGTCACCCAGTGGCATTCCAAGGATGTTCTCAGTCCAGATGTCATCAGTTACTTCCACATCATCGCTGTTTTGAGTTATCAAGTCACACTGAGCACTGTTTTGGTATTTTAGCCACTTGCTTTGTCTATATTGTGAAGTCACATTAGGGAACACTGGTTGTATAGATTCCCTTTGTCCATCTGCCGTATAGTCTTCAAACACAGAGGTTTCATAATTCCTGTCCTCGAGGCCAAAATCACTGACAGGAAACACTGCCGACTTGTTGCATAAATTGACTGCTGAAGAGCCAAAAGATTGCTGAACCTCCTCACCGTCAGTTAAATAAACTTCAGCGTCAGGAATCTTCTCAGTGGTAGGAACAGTGACAAGCGGAGTTCGTGTTTTAACTGTGGGCTTGAATCTCGAGAGGTTGCACTCTTCTGGATAACTGGATTCCTCCCGTGCTGGAGGAAAAGTACATCTTATAAGCAACATGTAGCACTTACAGATGGTACGTTAACTTCAGACACACAGAAATAAAGCTAAAGAAAGAACTGAAAGTTCTTCCTTTTACATCTCGTCTTCTAGTTGACAAGCTCTTTGTATTGAGTAATTTAAACTATGACTCTTTTATTATTATATAAATTATAATTATTATAATATTATATATTATATTCAAGGCACATTTTTATAGGCACTCCACTTTTATACAGTCAACGTTTGGCAGAAATTATTTAAACATTACTCCATTACGGAGGTTATTAAAAAAAATACGATATTTTTGGCTTTCACTACAGCTGCCAACTGAAAAACAAACAAATAACTTAACGTTTGTTCCTTTCCTCAAAAAAAAAAAATCACACACCAAACCACATAGAATTAATATTAATCAATACGGATAACAGGCTTTTAGCATTACAAGCAACCTTTTGGATAAATTCATCATCAATAAGAAATGACAGGCAATGACAGATGTCAATTTAATCACTGAAGGTGGGTCAGAAGGCAGCAGAATATGGAAGAAAATTAAAAGCAGGTAAATAAATGGAAAACACTAGCATGAATTAGAAGCTTAGCTTATAGTCTTTTTTTTTTTCCCCTCAAAACTAGAAGTTAGTTCTTTATAAATGGGATCAGTCTACTAAAGTCACTTTCAGGAGAAAATAGTATTCTAGGGGGAGGGGAAATGGATCTCAGGCTAATTTAACTGATCTGGCTAAAGACTACTAAAAATTGTACTTAAAAAAAGTGACAAACGCACGTATGAACAGTGTGAAACAAATACAAATAGAACTCTGCAGTTACCCAGACATATACAGAACCAGTCTATTTCAGGGCCTGGGGTAACTGGCTTTTACAGTGGGACTCATTGTGCTCCAAAGAACCTCAAAGATTGTCTCGCAAAAATATTGTGAAGCGCAATTATAAACGACAATTTCTTACTGAAAAAGCACTCTGAAAGTTCTGTGCCTCTTGAGATCCTGTCCGTCACAGTCTCCTGGATGTCTTTAAGAGTTTCATCATTTCTTGAAGTTGGAGAAATTGGAGAGTCCGGACTAAGCGAGGAAGCCAGTTGTACTGACGAAATCACCTAGAGATGAAGAATTAACATGTCAAGTGAAGGACTGGGGAAAAGAAAAAAATACATCGATTATAGCTCTTTTGTCACTATTCTCTCTCTCATCATTCTAAATAATTGAAATGTCTCTCAGAGTTGAGATTAGAAGGTATCAAATATGACATAAAATTGCTACCATGAACTCAGGTGCGTGGGGGGAGGGGTGCAGAATCTACAACAGACAGTCAATTCACACCTTGTAAGGCTCCCATGAAGTCCACTGTGTTTGCACCAAATCAGAACATGAAGGTGAGCCTGACATTATCCATTTTGGAACTTCAGAATATACACTCAGTGCCAATGCTAGAAAAAATATGGGAAGGACAGCAGTCATGCAGAAACATTGCTCTGAGGCCAATTACTGCCATTCTACTTTTACTCCCACTTACGGGATTCATCCATTATTGACTCTTTAATAATGTTAGACTTCTTCTGAAAACTCCCTTCGCCCGTGAAGTTGGCATCATCTTCACAAAGATTTCTTGAATGTGGAGACTTCACAAAAATAGCATGAACAAAAACTTGTTAGAAATTGAACTTTTTAATCCTTTCTATAAATATTATTTTTGCATGAAGATTTCATTTCTAAATATAAATCTTTAGTATCTCTAACATATTCCGGAAATAAAAAACACACATAATACTGATTTTCTTCCAGTTTTTCAATACTGAAATGCATATTGCATTAGAAAAATAGAGTTTGTGTTATGTTGCATCTCATGTTTCATTCTCACTCAAGATGAGTATTAGACTATCAACTCCAGGAAACAATCATTAGAAAAGCCCTTTGCTACTTTTTTCTATAAGGAATGTCTTTGTTTAATACCACATATTATAAACATGCACGTTTTTCAACGTGAACTTGATCAGAGAAAAAAAGAAGAAACACAGGTTACATCTTGCAAATGCATACTCCTGTGACAAAGATAAGCAAAAATAATTATGTCTAAATGCAAAGTTTTAGCCAGACAGTACTAGCTGTGGTCCCTAATGATTTGATTACAGTGTTCTAATTCTGAATTCTCTTTCATCTTACACTTACAGGATACTGCCTTGCATTAAGGAGAATAAGTTTGAAAAAAAATTGTTTTACCTGTCTGCAGTCAGAAAGGACATAACTGCTTGAAAACACAGGTGACAAAAATCTCTCAGCTGCAGACTCCATAGTGTCTGGGTACTGGTGCCATCCTAGCTGCGAGCAGGGAGCTCTCAACATCATCTCACTAGTTGCTGACCCTTTTACTCTGTGCCCTTGAAACTCAACAGGCTGCACAATATATTAGAACTATGATTAACTGAAAATAAGAACTGCTCAGGAACTATCTAGATTCAGTAAAAGTACTTTCCATGCATATAACAAAGATCACCCGTTTAAAGCTGTAGTATAAGGGGAAAAAAAAAAATCTACGCTTTTGAAGCCATCTTTCTCTTGCTTTTCTGCCACTCAGCAGAATAAAGTTTGGAAAATCTCTATATCAACAGAAAACTGATTGGCTGATGTAGTATGTCTTAGCCTTATTTTCACACTGTAAAATCTGAGTCTGAAACTCTCAATGGAAAATAACCTCCAGACAAATATATTAAAAAGTGATCCATCTGAGAAGCCTATTATGAGATTGGTTAACTATTTATTAGGACTTTTTGCAGCATATTGAAAACAGTGAACCATTGAATTGGATTTTAAGAGACAGTATTCATTACACACTGATTCCATAGAAATTGTACCTTTGGTTGGCAGTCAGAAGTCCTAGAGTCTCCTTGGCCCGGTGCTGTTGGTAGAACAGATGCCTCGTGTTTCTGTAATATGTTGTCCACACAGAGAGGCTGCATATAAAAGTATCAAGAACTAATTAGTCTGCTTAATAACCATTCAAGACAAGAGCTTAAGCTAATAAATCTCAGCACTTTCCTAAAGACTTAATGTGTTTATACAACAGAGGGCATTTGAAATCACATCTTTTTCATTTGGAAGCCAGAAAAATCAATGACAGGTTAACAAATTATGTTTGACGCTCAAACGGGTTGGGAAAAAATAGAAGAATTCATTCTAAAAATCTTTCTTTCACTTTGGAAGGGTGAGTTGAAAGAGGAAGACTAGTAATAGCATTGGATAAAAATCAGTGTGAAGCACCAAGCACAAAGCAAAACTTTTCAAACAGATTGTCAGTGCATCTCAACCCAAATCCTGAAGTTCTTAGGAAAGCCATGTGTCCAAAAAGATGGTGAAAGAAAGAAAAACAGGAATTGTATTCCAGAAGCCCTGTGGAAAACCAGTTTATTGTGTAGAGATAGTTATGCGTAGTCAAAAATTACTGTAAGGTAACTTACGTAAGTTACCGTAAGGCCAGAAGAATCCACGTATGAACAAGAAGATGCCTCTGTACATCCTGAGTAAGGCATTTCTGTTAACTGTTTTATAGCTACAAGAGATGGAAAAGTGTGATAAGTTGCAGTCACAGTATTCACTTTGCAAGGAAAAAAAAAATGAATATTTACTTAGCTTGCAAACCTAATCCACGTGAACAATTGCACAAATGAAATTAACCGAACTAAAACAAACAGAGAAGCGGATTTTGAGCCCCCAGTGGCGCTTTAAACACTACATCACTCTGAAAGCATGATTTCTGCATACAATTCATCCATCAGGAGAGATAAAAGTACAGAAGTCAAGTATGTGAAAAGCCATATAAACAATTCAATTTAAAATAGAAGCTGACCTAACCTTCGTCTTTTACAAGGGTTTCAAATATCTCTTTAGAAGTCTTTGCTTCACATAATAATAAGCTACTATTTTCCTGCATCTTTTGTAAGCTTTCTAATGCTGTGCTATGTTCAGTCAAAGCTCTTAAAAGAGCGATATTGTTTACCAAATCAGGAAGTTCTGATGATTTTTCAACAAATGCTGTGCATTTCAGGCAATCCGTTCCTATTCTTTCACCTTCGCAGGCTTCATGAAGGGAATTTATGCTCCCTATATTTTCAAACTCAGTTTCACCTATTTCTGTCTCCTCTGAAGATGAACAGCCTTTTCCTAAAAGACAGACAGCACTTGTGGAAATTACAGGATCCTCCTTGCATGAAATGCCAAAGACATTTTGCTGGTGCTCTGCAATATATCGGAATGAGCTGCAAGAAGTATCAGAATTTTGCAACAAAGCCAGGAAAGGACTACCTGGTTTAATGTCGTCATTACTAGTACCCTGGAAATGTTCTAAATCTATGTCCTGGGATTTTGTGCATCCAAGCTGTAAAACATCATCTTCAGTTCTTTTGTCCATTGCAGAAATCATTCTGCTGGTCAAAATACGTGAATTACTTTCAGTTTTCTCAAACATACTGGTTCTAGCATGACCTTCATTAACATTTGTGCCACCAGGCAAAACATCAGAGTCCTGACTGTTTATCGACAACCTGTCATTAACAGTATGTGCTGCACAGTCGTTGAGATCCTTTTTATGGGTCTTGGCTTCAATATTTAATTGACTTTCATTAATCTGTTTTATTTTGTTTATATCATCCAAAAGTTCCATTTCAATTCTGGCGGGGCTTACAAAGTCTTCCGCAGTTCTCCCAATATCGCCAATGCCGCTGTCACAAAGCGGCAACGGTACACCTCCTGGACAGTGATTTCCATCATTCCCTCTGTCAAACGTTAAACCTCTGACTTCTTCCTTTTTACTGTGTGGTGTTACTTCACAGCAAGAACGAAGTCTCAGCTCAACAGTTTGTGCTGCGTCTTTTCCCTTTAAGCAAACTGGACCTTGTGAAAGCATGTCTCCTTCACCAAGCTCTTTCACATCTCTTTCACACAGCTCTCTATTGTCTGTGTCATTAAAATCAAAAGCCTCTAATAAATTGAAATTCACCTCCATCACCTCTTCTTCTGGACCACTGTCTCTGCCATGTGTACTTAATTCCTCTTTCACAACTACATGACCAGTCAATGCTACGTCCGCAGAGAGCTCCAAGTCACTGGACACTGTTTCTGAATTTCGTCTCAGCTGGAGTTCATTTTGTGACTTTGAAGATGAATCCTCTTTAAGACCATTAGTCACTGAACGCTCTCTGCATGTGGAGAGATTTGTTTCAAGGACGATGGACTCAGCTGGACTTGCTGAATAAGAAATATCACTTAAGGAGGGGACACATTGACTGTTGCTCATTTTACTTATGCTAGATTCAGATAGGAAGCAACTATTTGGATGGTCACTGGCAGCACATTTGTTAATCGATAATGGTTTAGGTACCCCATCACTTCTAGAGAATGAGGGTTCTCGACATCTTTCACAATCCCAAATGCATTGCCTTTTGCTGTCTGTTAAATTCATACAGACACACATTTTTTCAGGGTGCAAAGTCTTTGTATTGCAGGGGTCTTGTAAATCTTGACTTAAGATATTTGCCTTTCTGTCACGTCTTTGTCCCGCAACTTCTTTATCACAAGCTTGTTCAGCTGAATTTAGAAGCATTTCAGCATTCCATTCCCTTTCATCACTTCCAGTTTCCTTTGTAGAATGTTGGTGCTGAATATTTTGAGTAAAACCTTTGCCGGGGTTGCCTGAAAAGCCAGGTGGGGTTGTACTCTTCTGGTTATAGAAACTATCTATATTTTCTGACGTCTGAAACTTAGAATGGCATTCCGTGACTTCAGAAATTGTTTGCTCTGTGCATAGGTGGGCTGGTTTAGACTTCAAAAGAGCAATTATCTGTGCTGTGCTCCTGATGTTCTGCGACACCGCCACACGACTGGTTGCCTTGGTGTGCTCACTAATTAGAGGATATTCTGGCTTCACAATGGACTGATCAGAGTTACTCTTCTCTGTCTCTTTATACGTCTCAAGAAATGGAGCTGAAACCAGTGAGGTGAAGGACACATGTTCTTTATCATTGTTTGTATACACATTTTCATGAAAGCTGGTGGATACATTTGTGTCTGCATCCTTCTTGCAAACAGTAGAAAATAAGGGAGAGGTGATATAAAACTTAGATGGCAAGGAACTCTGACACTGCTTAGATAAAGGCAATAATGTTGCTTTTTCTTCATCTTCCTTTGCTGATATTTTCTTTTCAACTTGACGTGGCCCTTGGAAACCCTAAGAGAAAAGTTTAAAATTAATTCTACTCAGAAATCAACCTCACATTTTGTAATCTAAAAGATGAAAACAGGACATGCTTCATAAACCATATTCTGACCAAATATCACAATGATTCCATACACGTACAGAAATAATCTCAAACCCTTGTGACTTTCACTGTACCCCTAGCAACAGCAATTCTGCTAAACCCAAGAAAGATTTAATAAACTACGAAAAAAGAGCTTCCAGTAACATATTCTGATTTACAGTTCCAAAAAAAAGCAGGAAGACATTATCTGTATATTCATCATTCATTTAAAAATGTGCCCTTGGTGTTTTAAAATGCATGTTAATGTCAGACAACCTTTGAAACAAAGACATACTGTAAACTTCCTTTTCAACCCAACAGGCAGGTGTCTTGGAGGCAGACCACCAGGCTTTACGCCATTTCTATTCACTGCTGGAGTTTCTGCTTTCCTTGGCTGATCTTCAGAAGATTTTTCATTCAGTTTTACTGCTTCAACTGTGATCAAATAGCGTTCACTTTCTAAATTATCTCCAGCATTCACCTAGGAAAGATAAGGCAGCAGTGGGTACACAATAGTGCTGCGTAAGAAACACAAACAATTCCCTCTAAATGTTGTGATACTTGCACATAAGAGTCAAAAACGTAATATTTTTCACCCATAGAACACCCATACAAATTGCCAGACCACTTACATTAGAAAGCATTAGCACTTAGTTTCAGGTCATGTTCACTTAATATATTAGTGTAACATACTGCTTTTACCCCAAATCAATAGAATTCCATAAATTTTCCGCATTGGTTCTGGAAAATAGTTAGTTTTATCAATAAATGGGAGTGGTTTTAGGATTTCATTATTTGCATTACAGCAGATGTTCATAAGAAATAAGAAACTATCAGCCATATCGCTAGAGAGAAAAAGTACTACCTTAATTACCAAACAAACAAGGGTTTGGAAGGCTTCCTGCAACACAAACCACAATCATAAGCATACAAATAAAAAAAATCCAAAACAAAATATACCTGAGATTTTATAAACAAACTCTCCAAACATTGTCCTTTATCATCAAACAAGATTGCCTACAATGAAAAGAAATCGTTATTTTAAATAATGAATTTTATTTCACAGATCTACTACATGGCACTGATAGTCAAACAGCAGCAGATGATATCAAATTGTATTAAATTTGTTCACCTTATTTCCTCCAGTTCTAATCCTCAGAATTCCATCTTGCCATGTTTTTGATTTTTTCATTTTTTGGTGAGTGTATAGTACCTGATTTAAATGTTGAAATAGTGATAAGTAAGAAAATGTTTAAATAATACAGCAGCTACATCGATATTGACTTTTTTACTCACTGGCCTACAGTGTAAAAAAAAAGACTTACAGTAAACTCTTGAGAAGCCATTGTTTTGGCACAACGTTCGTCCAACAGCTTATTCTGCAAATATTCATACCTTCATACAGCCTGAGAGACAGGAAAATTTTCAGAATTCAGCATAGTTGTAAGGGAAATGTACTGAAAAAAACAGATGCCAGTTCACTTATTTTTTCTCAAGAGTAGAAAGCTAGATGCAAAAAAAAAAAAAGTAAAAAAACTCCACACACACCTTGGCTCTCCACCTCAAGGCATGTGTGATGTGGGAATTCTAAAGACACACCTTGAAAATAATTTAACAGAAAGTCTGTTGGTTAAAAAAAAATTAATAATTTATATACACCAACGTCCATTTTAAATTAATTTAAATGAATGTCTAGCAACTCTGAAAACTCCATTGATCACATAGCACTTTGAAATTACAAATTATCCTAATTGTGTTCACTTGCAGCAAGAAAATATGGAAATTATTAACAGACTAACTTTGTCAAGAGTTTATTGACTTGACTTGGTCACGCATGCTTAACTCACATTCAAGATAACTGATTTTCAAAATCAGCTGCCCGTGAAGTCAAGCCTCTTTACATATTTAAAGCTAGACCAAAATAACTTTTAAAGTAGCTTCCGATGGTGAAAACGGGAACAAAACTTTATAAAAGCAACTTGTCTTTAGAAGCTGGGGCTTACTGTACATTTTGGTTGCTAATATTTGATCAGTACTGTGATTTACACCAGCGCTTAAAGAGCAGCACTTAAGACCTTATTTAGTTTAATCAATTAATGGCATTGCAATGAAAACGCATCACAAGAAATAACATAACATTTCCAGTTATTCTCACACTGCAGCTCAGTGAGAAATACTTTAATATAAAGTAGCTACACACAGGCACATTCATGCTTCTTCTCATGGCGCTGTTTCTTACAGCCGTCACGTTCTTGGCAGCCCCCGGATCAGCACTGTGGATAGTGACACACTTTTCAGAAGCAAACACAAGAAAAGATGTTTAGCAACGTACGAAACCTAGGGAAGAAAGGGAGACGTTCTCTAGGGACACAGAATAGCTCCTCCAGCTATTAAAAACAATGCGAATACTTACTATGATTTAGCACAGCAAGCAGCAAAAGCGGGAGTGAATACGAACGCTGCCAGCATTAAGTTTATACAGATTTGCTAAAGGCTCGCTCTTAACACGTCGTACAGGTTAAGCCCCGTGCTAACGGTCAGGGCAGCTGTACGCATTTGCCCTCAGTACGCGGGTGCTCCACTAAAGCCTGCCTCCTCACGGACCTCCCTGCTCCAGGGCAACGCCATCCCCGCGCCGGGGAGGCCCCCGCCCCGCC